TTTATTTTTTTATTAACAAGTCACCAAATGGATATTAACATACAAAACTTAGCCTTAAAAAATCAACTCTAAAGATAGGCTGTTATACAGATGAACAAAAATATTTTTAGAGCAAAATTACGTGGAAAAATATAGAACAAGGCTATTTTAATTTAGATATAAAAGAAAGTCATGCAAAATTAAATTGAGTCATGCTGTTGCTGATGACGGAGCGATTTAACGTTCACCTGCACTGCACCACAGGATAAAACTGGTGTGTGCATGAAAAATGAATTGAAAAGGCCTACATTCTACAACAATGCTTATAATAATAGCTACTTTAATAAACAAAATATCTATAACAAATAACAGACATAGTGAGTAAAGATGGATGGATGGACGGACGGACTGAAAGAAAAGTCAGAAACTAATTAGTTTCCGGCTTTGCTTTCAGCCCTCCATCCATCCATCCATCCATCCATCCATCCATCCATCCATCCATCCATCCATCCATCCATCCATCCAATAACAGGAGTGATAAAGATCAATAAAAATGATGAACAAAATAAAAAGTGAACATATAAAGCTGGCTCAGTTTGTGCCGGGTCTGTCATATAATCAGCCACACAGCCTCGCTTGTTCAGCTATGAACCTGCGAAGTAAAGCTGGAATTAGACCCCAGTTGCCTGAATACGAAATTATAAATATATTTAAAAATCTGTCGAGAAGTTATTGTGTTCTACTTACATGGTTTTACATGTTGTCAAGAACAATATTGCGTCCACTGTGTTTGAGCGCAGTCCTCCGCTGGTCTGTGCGGCCAGCTGCGCTAAAAACTCGCTGCTGCTGCTGCTCGCTGGGATGCAGAGCGCAGATCTCTCCAACTTGGCCAGTTTTGGGTACAACTTTGAGTTTAGTTTCCAAAATCCCAGCAGATGTCACTCATCGGCCATAGCATGCTTTTGAGTGATGTACAGTGTAACCTCATCATCACTCTCTGCCTCATCCACTGCGTTCTCTCACTCTGCAAAAGCACTTGCTCTTCTCTGTTTGGATTGAGTTGATGTGAACGCGCTGCTCGCTTCAGCTTTTGATGTTGTCACTTCTTGGGGCTGCAAATTCTTCCACTGCAGCTGAGAGCAGTTCCCCGCTGGTCTATTGTGCGGCCAGCTGAGAGCGTGCACCTGACAGCAGGGGTCATCATTTTAAGTTTGTTCAAGTTAGCCGAAAGGAAAAGTGCAGCTCTGTCCTTCAGCATGTCTGTGGCACACATACACCTGCTGTGGAGCAGAGCGTGGTGGGCGGGGTCATGCGTAATTGCTTCGCAATGCACCAGCGCTACTCTCTTTTCTGATTAACTCCTGTACTCTATTTTATTTCATTCCTCCTCCTCAGGTAACTTACTGCCTCCTCCTCTAAGTAGATTTACACCATTTTATATTGTGCATTTTTTATTTAGTTTTATTGGTGCTGTGCTGTATGATTCGTAAAACCACATCAAACACCGAGACCGGCCCGGACATTAATCACATTAATATGGCCCGGCCCTGCACTAAACCGGGTCGGTCCGGGCTGGGTTCGGGTTAAAAATGACAGCTCTAAACATCAGAGGTGATCACTAGATCTAAGAGATCCATTTAAGATTTTAATTTAATCTAATTTTTTATTCTAATTTAATCTAAGAGCTACCGTACATTTAAAAAATTGGGGGGGGTGGACAAATGTTTACAAGGGCCAGATTCGGCCTGCGGGCCTTGAGTTTGACACGTGTGTGTATATGAACCAACAGAACCACCAACTGGGCTTACGTTTATAAAACTTTGAGGTGGAAGAGGAATAAAATTAGATTAAAATTTTTTTGAGCAGAGCGAACAGAGAAAATAAAATTACAGATAAAATGTAAAAGTGCAGGATAGGTTGAATCTGTACAAACTTCCCTGAGAAATGTGAGGTGGAGTTTCCTGCAGGGCCAGTTCTACTGATAGAGCTCAAATCTGACGAGGCCGAGAGTCATCCACAACACACACTCTGAAAGCTCCGTGCAGTGTCCTATAAGATCGTGCTTAACATTATTTTCAAGGTTTGACCAAAACGGCTTCGACTCGATAAGATGATCCTGTTCTGAAACTCTGGCGTGAGAGGCGACAGGCTTCAACGACCGCTGAGGCGTTTACTGTTTTTCCCTCATCGCTCTGTCTCAACCAACATCTCACTGTTAGAACATGAGGTCAAAGGTCAGCTCTTGTAGGTGTTAGGTTTGCACCTCTGTTGTGATTTAGCTGCGTAACATTATTTGACCTCCATCTTTTGTTTGTTCCACCTGAAGACGGTGTCGGACAGTAAACGATCGTAGTGTTTGCATCTCTAAGAGCTTTTCCGTCACAATTAACAGAATACTCAGAGTAAGGACTGAGGTTAACAGACTCAAAACTCATAAGAATTAAAGTGATTTATTTACAGTCAATTATTATATTCCGTCTACAACAAGGGACCTGGGAAACCTGGGGAAGGAGGAGAGTCGGGATGATGGAGACCAATCAATCAATCAACTTTATTTCTATAGTACATTTTGAAAACTGCAGGGTAGCCTAAGTTCTGTACAATTAAAAAAAATAAAAATAGATTAAGACAATAAAAACATACAAATCATACACAAAGAAACAAAAACACGCACATACCAGTTTCACGGCAGGTGTGTTTTAAGACGCCTTAAAAGATGAGTGTGTTTTTAAAAGAGATTTAAAAACAGGAAGAGAGGAGGCCTGTCTGACACTCAAGGGTAAGTTGTTCCACAACCTGGGAGCAACAACAGCAAACGCTCTGTCACCTCTGAGCTTCAGCCGAGTTTTAGGGACTGTCAGCAGCACCCGATCAGCTGATCGTAGGGATCGGGGTGGGCAGTAAGGCTGAAGCAGCTCAGACAGATATGGTGGGGCAAGGTTGTTCAAGCATTTAAAGACAAACAGCAAAAGCTTAAAATGAATTCTGTAGTGCACAGGGAGACAATGAAGAGACGCCAGGATGGGAGTAACATGCTCGCGCCTACGGGCCTGAGTTAACAGGCGAGCAGCAAAGTTCTGCACAAGCTGCAGACGGACAAGATAGGTTTGGCTAATGCCTGCATACAGTGCATTACAGTAGTCAAGACGAGCTGTGATAAAAGCATGGATTAATGTCTCAAAGTCATTCATTCATTCAACCTTTATTTAGACAGGTAAATCCCATTGAGCCTCGAGGACTCATTTACAAGAGAAACCTGAAGTCATGTCAGGTCTTGCTAAGATTGGTTTCACTTTTGCTATTTGGCAAAGTTGATAAAAACTTTTCTGAACAACACTGCTGATCTGTTTTTCAAATTTAAACTCAGACTCAAACCTCACCCCCAGATTGGTGACAAAGTCCCTGAGATAAAATGATAGTGAGCCGAGATCTACGCTGGGAGAGGGACAGCAACTCTGTCCAAACATGAGAACTTCAATCTTGTTCTCATTTAGACTAAGGACGTTAAGAGAAAACCATGCTTTAATATCATTAAGGCAGAGTGTAAGTTGCTAGAATGTGTTATTTTGTGCCAAGGGACTATAGATCTGGCAATCATCAGCATAGAAGTTAAATGAAATGCGATGTTTCCTAAAAACAGAGCCGAGAGGGAGGAGGTAAAGAGCAAATAAAAGAGTGCCAAGGATTGAGCCCTGGGTGACACCATGTGGAAGAGGAGCTGTGGAAGACATAAAATTGTAAATTTTTAAGCAGAAACTCCTATTAGTGAATACGACCAAAACCAATTGGGGGCGACACCCCTGAAGCCCACACAGTGCTCAAGACGAGAGATTACAATCCTGTGATCAACAGTGTCGAATGCAGCAGACAAATCTAATAGCACTAAAACAACAAACTGTCCGGAGTCTGTTGACAAGAATATATCATTTGAAACCCTCAAAAGTGCACTCTCTGTACTGTGGCTGGCTTTGAATCCAGACTGAAATGGCTCAGTGATACCATTGTCCTCTAAAAAATGGTAACAACTGGTTGTAGATAAGCTTCTCTAATATTTTAGAAATAAATGGAAGATTAGAGATAGGCCTGAAATTGGAGCAGAGAGAGGAGTCGAGGCCTGTTTTTTAAGTTTCAAAATCTGCTCCAACAGGTTCGCTGACTCAAACAGAACTGTCTCGTTCACGCTGCTTTCATTTCCCAACACAAAGCTGCTCCTAAAGTCTGAGAGCTCTGCTTTGAGGTTTGAACTCACATAAATACAAACTCTAATGCAGTAGTCATGGACTCACCCTGCAGAAACTACAACTCTAAACTTGTCTTGAATGACATCACTTTGGAGAAACAGAGTTTAAGTCGGTGTTTTGTTACAGTCTGTCTGAATGTGGACAAATACGTAGTTATCATCTTGTTTCTGCTCAACCAGCTACTTGCTCCTGGAACACGGTTAGGTTGGGCGAGACGTCCCAGATCCTCCATGACCCTCTGAGGTCAAAGGAGCAGACTTTAACTTTAACAGGACTGGTGAGCTAATGGCTAGTCATAAGGCGCAGCTGACTCCGAGCTTCATAATTCTGCAGCAGCATTTTATAAACCTTCACACCTGATGTGGTGATTTACGTGGGAGTTCTGGGAGCACCAACAGCGTCAGCACAGCAGCAGCAGCAGCAGCAGCAGCAGCAGCAGCAAGCTTTAGCACTTCCTGTAGGTAGTTCAAAATCTGTCAGCAGGGTGAGTACACCAGGTGAAAGGGTGAGTAATAGTCACCCTTTCATCTTTGGCAGTGGGTGATATTAAAAGGCGGAGTAAGATTGAGAAGTAGTTTCTGTTGTTCTGTGGTGGGTTTCGTCCTCTGAAGTCTTAGATGTGATGGAACTGTCCGGCCGGGCTCTGAATATGTTCACTGTCTCAGAGTTCGGGTTTGAATTTAAGACGTGGGTTCAAACTTTTAACTAGTTTCAAAAGTCTAAAGAGATTGTCCTGCTCTTCACAGGTGAAAGGAAGCTTTGTGTCAGAGCGTTAACTGTGGTGGCCGTCGCCGTCCCCATCCTTCTCTTCCTCTGCGTCACGCTGTCCTGCTACTGCTTCAACAGGTGCGTCCATAAATCTGTGTCCACATCAGTCTATCCACGTCGGTCTGTCCACGTCAGTCTGTCCACATTGGTCTGTCCACATCGGTCTGTCCACATCGGTCTGTCCACATCGGTCTGTCCACATTGGTCTGTCCGCATCGGTCTGTCCACATCAGTCTGTCCACATGGGTCTGTCCACATTGGTCTGTCCATGTCCGTCTATCCACGTCGGTCTGTCCACATTGGTCTGTCCATGTCCATCTGTCCCCTTCAGTCTGTCCACATCTGTCTATCCACATTGGTCTGTCCATGTCCATCTGTCCACATCAGTCTGTCCACATTGGTCTGTCCATGTCCGTCTATCCACATTGGTCTGTCCATGTCCATCTGTCCACATCAGTCTGTCCATATCGGTCTGTCCCCTTCAGTCTGCCCACATTGGTCTGTCCACGTCTGTCTATCCACATCGGTCTGTCCATGTCCATCTGTCCACATCAGTCTGTCCATATTGGTCTGTCCATGTCTGTCTTATCCACATCGGTCTGTCCATGTCCATCTGTCCACATCAGTCTGTCCACATCGGCCTGTCCACATCTGTCTGTCCCCATCAGTCTATCCACATTGGTCTGTCCACGTCTGTCTTATCCACATCGGTCTGTCCATGTCCATCTGTCCCCATCAGTCTATCCACATCGGCCTGTCCACATCTGTCTGTCCACATCAGTCTATCCACATTGGTCTGTCCACGTCTGTCTATCCACATCGGTCTATCCATGTCCATCTGTCCACACCAGTCTGTCCATATCGGTCTGTCCCCTTGAGTCTATCCACATCGGTCTGTCCACATTGGTCTGTCCACGTCCATCTGTCCTCATCATTCGGTCCACGTCAGTCTGTCATCTGTCTGTACCAAAAGTTTTCAAGGGCCACAAGCTCTAACAGAAAGGTTGTCAAAAATAAAACAAGGAAAAGCAGAAAATTGGCACAATAACTAAAGATATAGAACTAAACCATAAAGAATAAACACAAAAACACAGATTATGAGAAGTGGTGGTTTATTTTTCATGCTGAGTCATCATAATCGCTGCGTGCATCATCATTGTGCTGCTGTTAATTGAAAAAGAAATGACTGTGATGTGATTTTTCTCTGCCACTCTGCAGGAACAGAGACATCTTCTGTCAGAACTGGCAGGACCCGTCAGGATTTAAGAACGTGTTGAACGGACTCATGGTAAGGAATGAAAACCACCGTCTCCTCGCCTCCCTGTCCTCCTCTTTAACGTGTGTTTTGTTTTTCAGAACTCGAAGGACATTGTGTACACGCCACAGATGGAACAGACTCAGGCCTCAGTTACACTCCTGCCTAAAACCATCGAGCCCTAGCAGCGATCAGAACCTGAGGTTCTGCATGGCAGCTGGACCTGGACTCTGGGGAGCCTTACAGAAACCACTAGAGCTGAAAAAACTCGACTCACGAACCTGCTGTGGACCTGTATCAGCACCACCAACTGGATGTTATGTTACCTCCACCACTAAACGTTAGCAAGAAAACATGGTGTTTACCTACTGCTGACACATTACTGTGCAAAAGTCTAAAGCCAGAGCCTCATGTGGTCAATGTGCAGGTCTGTCAGTACCTGGTTCCAGTTCAGTTTTTGCTTTACTGCTGTTTGGATTATTGTGATGAAAATGAACAGCTGAGGTCCAGATGATGTTGCTCAGTGGATCAGAGTCTAACAGGCCAAACCGAGCCTAAACCAGACCACGAGGGTGGCTCCAGACCCCTGTCGGCTCGTATGAGCAGATTTACTCCGATGAAGGGATGGGATTAAGAAACAACTGTAGAATCTACCAGAATAGCAGCTGTTCAGCTGTGAACTGGTAACGAGGATGAGGAAGTTGATGACCTCCAGCTGATCGCTGAGGAGAAGAAATGAAGGTGTTCTTTAATGAGAAGGTGGAAACATGAACGTTCATATCAAAACGAGCCTCTGTAAATACGTTCACACTCAGATAACCAGAGAGGATCGTCTGACTGTACGAGGAGCCAGTACCTGCTGATCGCCACGGAGAAAACAGCCCGAGTCTTCAGCTGGTGGCATTAATGCTTCAATGCTGCTCTTTTATCGTGTATGTTACTGTAAAACAAACAACCAGGGTTAATTTCCTCAGGTGGGACACTTTCTGTCTGTCTGCTTATTGACCAACCAGCAGGAAGTTTTCGGGCTGGCTCTGACCTCTGCAGTCTTTCATACTTTAATAAAAATGACGGTTTTATTCAAAAATGTAAGCTGCTGTGTTATGACGCCTTTTCAAACTATATGTGTGGATGTTTTGAAAGGAAAACAGACAAGAACTGTAAAATACTGAAAATCATTAGTTGTGTTCACCTCGCCGACTCCTTATCGTTCAGTTCATCCGTATCCACAACGCCTCATCACCCTCACTTGCACTTTTTTGTTCCTTTTAAAAAAAATCATCTATTTTTTTTACTTCTGCTTTATTAGATTTGGTAACTTGCTTTTGGTCTGGCAGTAGTTTTGACAGCTTAAAGAAAGTGAATGTGTTTTACTTCACACCTGAGCAGAGCGTGTGTCGTCTGTAGCTCCTCTCAGTGAAGAACACAACCGTCAGCAACATTTAGCCATCGTTTGCTTCATGGTGTACAAAAAGAGCAAACTGTGGAAATAAAATGAGATCTGCCACATTGGTTGTGTTCATCTGTACAGCCAGATTCCTTCTGACCTGTTTATTTTTTTCCCCCAACTGTTATTTTGATTTTTTTCCCATTTTAATACAACAAATACAAAAAAAAAAATAAACGGATAAGCAAACAAGTGAATAAGCAGCCTCCACTCGCAACAAAAAGTATAAAAAAAATTTAGAAACAGCCCACCCTTGCCAACAAAGTATAAAAATTCAAATTCAAAAACACTTTATTAATCCCAGAGGGAAATTATTTGTTGTTGTAACTCGTTATCCTCATTTCATTAAGAGATGTTATAGATGCTGATGGCTGTAGACAGGAAGGATCTCTTGTAAAGGTCCATCCCACAGTGGATCCTAAGAAACTAGCTGCAGATGCCGTCCGATCCGGCTGGCCTCTCGGTTCCACCGGGCAGTAGAACCGTCCAAATGCTGGGCAGAACTCCTCCCAGAGCGATGGCCACTCCTCCCAGCAGTCTGCCGAGCTCCTCGTCTCTGCGGACAGCCAACTGTAGGTGCCGAGGGACGATCCTGTCCTTCCGCTGTCATGAGCCGTGTTTCCTGCTAGTTCCAGGATCTCAGTGGTCAGGCATTCGAGCACAGCTGGCAGGTAGATGAGAATGTGTCCACAGAACATCCTTTTCAACTCATTTGAGATTCGGGGCTGTAGTTGAGATATTATTTGAGCTTTTGAGATGTTAATCAGCTGCTGTTGTTGTAGAAAACTGTATTGTTGCCATGGTTACGCATCATAACAAATGTCCAAAACTAAAAAAGTTTAACTAAAAATCCTTCCAGCTGCACAGCATCTGATACCAGAGGAAACAATCATCCAAAAAAATGTGATTTACATCTAGAAAAAGAGGAATTAAAGTTTCCAAAAGCAAAATCTCAGAATGAAAGTAACAGAGCTGCTCCAACATGCAACCACCTTGAGCGGCGCAATTCTAGAACAAAAAAGAAAAGTAAATAATAAAGTAAAAAAAGGGGAAGAAACAAGTAAATAATAACAATGTCAACTAATTTGGAACAGAGGAAAAGTTGGTTTGTTTAATCAACAGTTGCAATGGTTGCCAAACGTGTAAATTGCTCAAAAGAGCCATGCAGCAACATCCTGATTTTCTCAAGTTTAAGGAAGTAAAAAATATCCCTGAGCCAGTGCAAAAAAGAGGGGGGATGAAATACTTTTCATTTGAGCAATATCACTCTCCGAGCAATAACGGTCATAAAAGCTAGAGAATTACCCTGAGACGGGGTTAAGGGGGGCCCTCAAGAAAATACCCCAAACAAGGCGCTTAGGGGATTCGGGTCAATTTTTCTTCCAATCACCTCAGATATGGCAGCAAATACAGTATCTCCATCCAAAAGGTATCAAGCTGAGGGCACTGCCAAAACATATGTATAAGATTAGCAGGGCACTGTCGACATCTGTCACAAGCCGGAGAGACCGTGGTATAAATCTTAGATAAACGGGCTTTAGTGTAATACACACGGTGCACCAGCTTGCACTGGATAAGACAGTGCCTCGCGCAAATAGAGGATTTATGTACTCGTATCTGAATACGTGACCAGAGCTCATCAGAAATATTTTCCCCGATATCTTGTTTCCAAAGGCTCCTAATCGAATTTAAAGAGTTAGGACGGAACGAGGCAATTAATTTATAAAGCGTAGAAATAGAGCCCTTTAGCCCAGTGGTGGACAAAAACAAGGAATCCATGTCAGAGTCCTCGGGCAAATGGGGAAAAGTGGGGAAGTTACTACAAGCAAAACTGCAAATTTGTAGGTATCTAAAATAAAGTGGTGCGATGGAAGAGTAAATCTGTCTGATAGTTGTGCAAAGGAGGCAAAAACATCAACAAATAAGTCCTTGAAGGTCCGTGTGCCAAGATCAGACCAAGTTGTGAAGGTTTTATCCACAACAGAGGGAGCAAAGATATGATTTGCTGCAATAGGTGCATGAGGAGACAAAAGTTGGAGGCCAAAATGACGCCAGAATTGGGCCCAGATAGTAAGGGAAATTTTTACTATTTTAATTTTTGTATATGCAGCGGTGGAGGATTGGATTGGTGAATACACCAGAGCCATGAGAGAAACAGGTTTCACAGAATTTGTCTCCATACATAACCAGTCAGGTAGGGGGGAGGTCCCACAGTCGCGCCAGTATTTAAAAAATCTAATACTGGAGGCCCAGTAGTACCTAAAATTGAGTAAGGCCATTCCTCCAAGTGATTTAGGCCCCTGCGAGTATTGCCTAGCCAACCTCGAAGTCTTCCCCTCCCAAAGAAAGTTAGAAATAAGAGTGTCTACCTGTTTGAAGAAGGAGTTACTAAGGAAAATTGAGATGCACTGTAATAAATATAAAAACCGTGGAAGGACATTCATTTTAACACAGTTGATACGGGCTACCAAAGATAGCTTAAGCAGGGACCAGCGTTCAAAGTCTTCTTTAATTTTTAATGACAAGGAAGAAAAGTTGGCTTTAAAAAGGTTCTTCAATGTTCCAACATTTTTCAGTCAGGTCATCTGGACAGTTTCTTTTTTTTGTGCTCAAACGTTTCGCCTTCGGTCCGGAAGGCTTCATCAGACAAGGAAACACACAACAAAACTGATTCTTCCTCCAACAGCTTACTCCAAAGTAGAACAAACCAGTTCTGCTTGTGATAAGATGGTCTCTTTTGTACGCCCCCTCCTCCATTGCCGGCCCTCTTCCTTGTTGACGTCTTGTCAAACTGGTTGAAAACAACAAATTTGTTGGATGTTGGATTGTATACCTGGATTATTGAGCATGGACTTTGTTGTTTTATGTATATGTATATATAGACATATTGATACAACAACAGTAGTCTTTGAATCTCTCTCTCTCTATATATATATATACACATGTATATATATATATATATACATATATATATATATATATATATATATATATATATATATATATATATATATATATATATATATATATATATATACATACATTGCATAAATATGTCCAAAGGCACTAATGTACCCCCATACCATCAGAGAGGCAGGCATTTGAACAGTGTGCTGATAACAGGTGATAACTCTCTTCTTTAGTCCAGAGGATGTAACATAGTTTCCAAAAATAATTCCTGATTCGGACCAGTCTGACCTCAGAACTGTTCTCCAGTTCTCTCAGTCCATCTGAAATGGTTCTGGTCCAGAGCAGATGGCAGAGGTTCTGGATGGTGTTCACATTCTTCTTCTTTGTCTGATAGAGCTTTAAGCAGTGTCTGTGGACGAACTGTTAACAGACAGTGATCTGTGTAGTGTTCCTGAGCCCAGAACAGAACCAGACTTGGTTTTAATGCAGTGGCCCCTGAGGGCCCGAACATCACGACCATCCATTCTTGACTTTCAGCCTCTTCTTCTGAGCTCAGAGATAAATCGTCCCACTTTTCTGCTGTTCCTCTATTTTTAGACAGTTTCTTTCAGACTATCAAACCTCTGCCCATCTCTACTTCTAAGAGACCTGTTTATTATTAGTACAATTTACTTTTACATGCTTCTGTTTGCCCTGAAACAACTTTCTGAGATCATTTCCATCAAATTTAAAATTATATATATATTTTTTTTTTTACAAAAATTAAATTTGTTTTAGTTTCATCATTTCATACGTTATATGGGTTTATGGTTCACGCTTCATTTGCATTCTATTTTTATTCACATTTTACACAGTCTTAACTTTTTTTAAACAGAATCAATGTTGCAGAATTCAGGGTTGCTATCAAGTGGGGGCCAGGAGGAGGCCCCCACCCCAGAGTTGTATCTTCAGTCCCAAAGTTTTTGCTTGGTGTGCATCTTTAATTTTATCGAGTTATTTGGGATTAATAGAACCAATAAACATAAAAAACAACAACTTTTTTTTTAATTAAATTGGAGTTAAAAATAAAACTTGAAATTGTTCCCCTGGAGCAGTCTGAGGAGCTGGTCTCGAGAAGTTTTATACTTTTTTTTTTTGACAAATACAAATGTAAAAGTGGACTGAACCGAGACATTTACTGTCAAAGGACAAACGTTTAGAAATCTTTGCTCAGTCCTGTTCCCTGCGCGAGAGGAAAAAAAGCCGCATCTCGCCGCCCTCTTCCAGCCTCCACCTTTCCTCACTCCTCCACCTTTCCTCACTCCTTCCTCAACAAGCTGGAAGCGAAAGTAAACTGTCGGATCTTAAAGAAGCAGCTGGACTCAGGACGGGCTTTATTTCTTTCTCCTCCCGGAGCCTGCGGGGAGGAAGAGGAGGAACCAGTTCTGAGAGGAGGAAGAGGGGAAGCTGAGTGCTGTCGGGAATAAACGGAGCGGTCCAAATGTTGGAGCTGGTTCTTCTGAGCGGTCTGTTCCTGGCGGTTCGCTCCGCAGCAGGTGAGGAGACATTGAAACTCGTCAAATCTCCTTTTGATGTCTTTCTGTCCGACAACTTTCTTTTCCATGGCCTTTTGGTTTCCCAGCAGTGACGTCACGTACAGTCTCACATCCTGTGTCGGTAGCTTGTGAAGGCGCGCACGTGAGTTGGACGCAGTGTTGCCAGGTGTACGTATTTGTACGACAATTTTGCCCTCTGTACGATGTACGATCAATAATCCCCCCAAAAAAGACAAATATATGATCATTTGACCATTCCGTGAATGTGTGGTTGTAATCTGTTGTCATTAGCCTGTCGCAACTGTCTGTCGGAGTTTTTTTGTGAACCCTGAAGACATCTGTGTCTGCAAACAGATGCTTTTCTAAATGTTATCTACGAGCGACGTATTTGCGTTTGCCTCAGAACAATGGCCATGATTGGATGAATAGTCCACTGCGCCCGCCCCATGACCCAAGTCAATTAAGTTTTATTTATAGAGCACATTTCAAACAGAAACTGTTACCAAAGTGCTTAACAAAAATATCACAACATCAAATAAAAAGTAGCAAGATATATTTACAGCACATGGAGTAAAAATATAAAACCAAAAACATAATTAGAAACAATGAAATACTAAATAAGATCACGTTGCGTCAAAAGTCAAGGAAATAATAACAAAAAGCATAAACTCAGTCAGAAACAATGAAATACTAAATCAGATCTGATGACCTTGTGTTAAATAGGAATAATAACAAAAGCATAAACAGAATCAGCATCAATGAAAAACTAAATCTAAATCCGATCACCCTGTGTTAAATGTCAGTGAGTACAGATGTGTTTTTAGGAGAGATTTAAAAATAGAGACTGAGGTGGCCTGTCGAATGTTGATGGGCAGATTGTTCCAGAGTTTAGGGCCCACGACTGAAAATGCTCGATCTCCTCTGAGCTTCAGCCTGGTTTTAGGTACGGCCAAAAGCAGCTGGTCTGATGATCTCACAGCCCGAGAAGGAGCATAAGGATGAAGGAGGTCAGAGAGGTATGAGGGTGCAAGGCCATTAACACACTTGAATGTCAGCAGGAGAATTTTAAAATTGATTCTGACACTCACAGGAAGCCAGTGAAGGGAGGACAGAACCGGAGTAATGTGCTCAAACCTGTGAGTTCCTGTTAGTAGCCAAGCTGCAGCATTTTGTACGAGCTGGAGATGTGAAAGTGAAGCCTGACTAACCCCAACTTAAAGCGAGTTACAGTAGTCCAGCCGGGTTGTAATAAATGCATGGACTAGTTTTTCAAGGTCGGATCTGGACAGAACAGACTTAAGCTTTGCTATTTGCCTATGATATGATATATACTTATGAGTGAGGAAAATAAAAAAGAAAAGAAGAAGAAGCAGAGCCGGTCTGGAAGCGGACCCATCACTACTATAGTGCATCAATAGATTTGTTATTTTGGTTTTGACGGGTGTACGATCATTTCCCTCAAAATACGATAATTTTATGTCTCTAGTACGATAATCCTACATTTCTCACCAGGCAACACTGGCTGGACTGTTGGTCTTCACAGGACAGAGCCAGCAGGAGGCTGTCAAACAGGAAGTGTCTCAAACCTGTCTTTTGTCTTTTTCTGTGTCCACTTGAAGGCACAGTCCCTCCTCCACAAAACCTGTCCATGGTGTGGGTGAATAACTTCGAGCCCAAGTTCTTCTGGGAACCCCCTCAGCCCTCCATGACAAACTGTGGATACGAAGGAACCACGAGAATACAGGAGTACGAAGATTCCGTTGTAAGCAAATGTGAACATAAACAAAGTGCCGGCTTTCACCAGCCTTTTACTACTTTAACAAACTAGCCTTATGCTACTTTTAGCTTTTAGCTACCATTTTGCTACTTTTAATTAGCCTTTTTACTACTTTAACATTTAAACTAGCCTTATGCTACTTTTAGCTACCATTTTGCTACTTTTAATGAGCCTTTTACTTTTTTAACCTTTACGCTAGCCTTATGCTACTTTTAGTTAGCTTTTTACTACTTTAACCTTTATGCTAGCCTTATGCTACTTTTAGCTTTTAGTTACCATTTAACTACTTTTATTTAGCCTTTTACTACTTTAACCTTTAATCTAGCCTTATACTACTTTAAAATTTTAACTACCATTTTGTTGTTTAGCTTTTACTAACCCTGCCTATTGTGTCTTTTAGCTACTATTTAGCTACTTTTAGTTAGCCTTTTACTAATTAAACCTTAAAGCTAGTCTTATGCAACTTTTAGCTTTTAGCTACCATTTTGCTACTTTTAGATAGCTTTTTACTACTTTAACCTTTAAGCTACCTTAGGGTACTTTTAGCTACAATTTAACTACTTTTAGCTTTTACTAACCCTATTGCGGCTTTTAGCCACCATTTAGCTTCTTTTAGTTTGCCTTTTATTACTTTAGCTTTTAAGCTAGCCTCATGCTACTTTTAGCTACCATTTTACTACTTTTAGCTATCATTTTGCTACTTTTAGCTTTTACTAGTCCTATTGCAACTTTTAGCCACCATTTAGCTACTTTTAGTTTGCCTTTTACTACTTTAGCCTTTAAGCTAACCTCATGCTACTTTTAGCTACCATTTTACTACTTTTAGCTTTTTAGCTACCATTCAGCTACTTTTAGCTTCTACCTAGCCTTTTGGTACCTGCTCTGTTTGCCACCTTTCTGTTTTATAAAAGGAGTTTTAATTGTGATGGTGGTCTCCATGGCAACCAGCCCAACATGTCCTGTCTGATAAGGCCAACCCCTCAGAGTAACTCTCCTAATGTAAACAAGTCCATATCTGACCGTTAAGGATTTTTATTTTATTTTTCTCTTGTGAATGGAAATTAAAACAAGGCTTTTTTTGTAGGCTCTTTATTTTGGTGAAGGTGAAACATTTTTCTTTAATGTCTGGTTTTCCTCATTTTGTTTTTTCCCCTCATTTGTAGAAGTTAAACTACAGTAAAACATATTACAGTGAATTCCTGATCATGAAGGGAGGATTTCTGCATTTCTCTATAAAAACAGTCTGCGATAAAAATGAGAGTGTACCGGCAGTCTTCGAGGTCCATTACCCAGGTAGGTCGTTATCATTCACCATTCTCTTCTGATCTTTAAGTGTGAATGCTTTAACTGCAGAGAAGAAGAACGTGTCGTTTAAATAAAATGTGTGTTCATCAGAGCTGGTGACAAGTTGGACCTGCCACAGTACTGCAAGCAAACAGGCGTACTGTTCCTGGTCCCCGGCCCGGAACATTACAGATCTTCAGTTCTTCTACAGGTCTGTTCACATTTCTACATTCTGACTCATCCCACAAGTGTTTTATCAAAGAAGGTAGCTCACAATAGCCTCTGTGTTTTCACCAGTAGGTAACACCCTGGTCCGCCCTGACTGCTAAGCCGGTCTGACTTTTAATAAACCGAAGTTCAGTAGAAGTTTAGCTCGTGGCTCTGTGTTTATTTTGACGAGTCACTCTGGGTTTTAGCTACTGATTTTGAGACCTGAGTCATGTTTTGAATGGTTACTGAGCCTGAAGAAGCAGTGATGGTTTATCCACCTTATTCCTGGGGGGCTCTACTGTATAAACGATTATGGGTACAACTTCCTGTCAGACACAGGAAGTAGCAGTAAGCATTGGTTAAGCATGGTAGCGGAGCATGGACTACAGTTTATTTGAAAGTAATTTGCATTCAGTTTAGCAGATAAATTTTTTTTTTGTTTTGTTCACGTTTATTTAACAACGGTAAAGTTTACTAAAATAGCCTGACGCATTCAAGACAGGTTACAGACATAGATACATAATGCTTGGAACATGTCACAGAATGAGCATCAGATAGTCTTCTGCAGACTTTTATACAGCAGCAGGATCCTGTGGGCGTTCCCTCATAACCAGCCGCAGTCAGACGCACAGACGTGATCCATCGCTGTCAGAGAGTCAGCCTCCAGATGGAGATAAGTCTGTTTTGGGCATGTTCTCATGGTGATAACACCAAGGAGGCACTCTGAGACAGCTTCCAGGTTGAGATAAGAGAGGGTTTCAGGCTCAAAGCAGGAGGGAAAGATGTTTTCAGCCTTCTCAGTTGTCATATAGAAACACAATAGAACTGTTCCTACCAAAAATTATCTTAACAGAAACAAAGTTCTTTGGTCCAATAATGTTCTGTCAGGTCATCTGGACAGTTTATTTTCTGTGGAAAGATGTTTCGCCCTCTATCTGGAGGGCTTCATCAGTCTGAGGAGTCCCAAGTAAACTGTTCCCCACTAAGCAGTACATTCCTTTAGTGAACCAACCAGTTTGCTGGTGATAAGATGGTTTCTGGGGGCTGTCCTGTCCCCCGTCGACTCCTCCCAGACAGGCAGCCAAAGTGGTTCAAGACATCAGAGTTCATGCTCAATCATCCAGGTGCAAAATCCATTAATGGTCAGTCAGGTCATCTGGACAGTTTCTTTTTTCGTGAAAAGACGTTTCACCCCAAAATTCTCTGGTCTAAGACAAAGATTGAACTCTTTGGTGTGAACGCCAGGCATCATGTTTGGAGGAAACCAGCTCATCACCAGAACCATCCCTACAGTGAAGCATGGTGGTGGCAGCATCATGATTAGGGGATGATTTTCAGCAGCAGGAACTGGCAGACTAGACAGGATAGAGGGAAAGATGAATGCAGTGATATACAGAGACACCTGGATGAAAACCTGCTCCTTTGAGCTCTTGACCTCAGACTGGGGAGACGGTTCAGTTTTTCAGCAGGACAACGACCCAAAGCACATGACCAAGATCTCATAGGAGGGACTTTAGGACCACTCTGAAGGACCTGGAGGGGCCAAGATCTCAAAGGAGGGGCTTCAGGACCACTCTGAAGGACCTGAATTAGATTGAACATCTCTGGAGATATCTGAAAAGGGCTGCACAGACGACTCACATCCAACCTGATGGAGCTTGAAAAGTACTGCACAGAAGAATGGGACAAACTGTCCAAAGAGAGGTGTGCTCAGCTTGAAGCATCATCTTCTAAAAGACTGGAAGCTGTAACTGCTGCCAAACATGGATCAACTAAGTGTTAAACAAAGACTGTAAATACTTACATAAATGTGATTTCTTAGTTTTCTTTTATAATAAATTTACAAAAATCTCAAAAAATTCTTGTATCACATTGTCATCATGGGGTATTGTGTGGAAAGAGATTAATTTAATCCAGTTAGGACTAAAGCTGTAACATGATAAAATGTGGAAACAGTGAAGTGCTGTGAATACTTTCTGGATACAATGTATCATGAACTACGAGGCTGGTTTGAATAAAACCTGCAAGCATTGAGCTGAATCTTCATGAGGTGGTAGCTGAGAGTTATACCCAACAAGTGACCAAAACAGCTACAACTCTGTCAGTTTACAACATTAGGTGATTGCTGTTTTTCTTGCGGCTGCCCCCTTCTGCAGGGATCAACAGTGAGCAAGCATGCTTGGCTGGGCTTGGTAATTGTTTTACATTTTCTGACTCAACCTGGGTTTGAACCAGCAGCCTCAGGATTACAGAGCAGTGGTACTGACCACCGAGCTAACGTGGCCCTTGCAACATGAGATGGTCTTTAACTAAAACTCTGGCGTGGAACGGACCAGATGATTTGCATCTCTTCAGGGCGCTGCTGGAGCTTTCATGGTTAATGACTCTAACTCAGCCTGGACCCAATGGTCTTTATGGAAATCTCTAACTGATTTTATTTAAGTCCTCTTTTAGGATTGTAAACATTTTGTGAAATGTGACAGTATTTTTTTTTTATGCTTCAAAGATTATCTGATGAGCCTTCAACTGAAACTCAGTGTTCGTTGTACAAGTCGCTTGGTGATGGGAAGACTGGTTGTGATCTGCAGGCGACTGACGTCACCATCTTTGTTGGATTTATTGCAACAGTCAACAACACGCTGGTTAGGAACACCTTCAAGAAAGATCTTTTATGGGACGGTAAGATGCCAACTGATTGGTTTAGTTTCTTAAAGGGAAAATCCTACTGATCTACGGGGCACTTCCTCCTTCACTTTCTTATTGAGGAAGTTCTTCTTGCTGTGCTTTCTGGGAAACGTTGTGGGTATTAGTTGCGTCAGGACTTGTGTGTGTATCAGAGTTCTTTCAGCAGATTACAGTGAGTGTAATGTCTTTCTGTGCAGTGAGACCTCCTGCCCTCACATGGAACATCACAAAAACTACTAACACGTTTAATATCAGCTGGGTTCCTCCAGACATGCTTGATCTATCAGCGTGGACGTTTCAAATAAATTACACTGAATGTGTTGAGAGTAAGGTAAGAGACAACAACACTGTGTGTGTACATTCTGACAGGTTTACTCACATTCAACAGGTGCGTTTTATTATGGAAAGCCATTTCATTCAAAATTAAATAAATAAATAGTGTTATTTAAAAAATATTAATAAATATTCCATTAAACAAATGTTCCCATAAAATAAAACATTTAAATAGAAATGTTTAGTTTTTTCCCCTCCAAGATTTAATGTTTATTTATTTCAAGATTTATTTTTTCATTTATTTCAAGATTTATTTTTTCATTTATTTCAAGATTTATTTTTATTTATTTCAAGATTTATTTATTTATTTAATAATGGAGTTTCATTTTGTGACACTTTTATTTTGTAAAGCTACTTTACATATTTCCGGGGCTTTTTTTTTTTTTTAACCCCGTTTTTCATTTTAAGCTCTTTTTATTTCATGTCCTTCTATTCAAATGAGGGGCAGCACGGTGGTGCAACTGGTAGAGCTGCTGCCTCTCAGTGAGCAGGTCCCTGGTTCAAATCCCGGTCTCGGGGCCTTTCTGGGTGGAGTTTGCATGTTCTCTCTGTGCATGCGTGGGTTTTCTCCAGGTACTCCAGTTTCCTCCCACAGACCAAAAACATGCATGTTAGGCTGATTGGTAACTCTAAATTGTCCCTAGGTGTGAGAGAGTGAATGGTTATGTGTCTCTGTGATGGACTTGCGACCCGTCCAGGGGGTACCCTGCCACTCGCACAGTGATTGCCGGACATGGGCACCGGCGACCCCTGTGACCCAAAATGAAAGAAGCAGGTAAAAGATAATGGATGGATGGATATTCAAATGAGGGGGTGGGGTTTTCCTCTATCTTTTTTGACCAATCACAACAAAGTATTCCCCTCGCTGAGCTCTGCCTGGTCCAGCTACCTTCAAATCATGAATTAACTGTGTTCAGAGAGTCAGGATGACAAGCGGGCAATATGGCGGACATTGGAGAACTTCGAGATGAAATGCAAAGATTTGCTGATGAAATTGAACATTATATATTTACATTATATTTACATCCCGCGTTGTATTCCAGGGTGTGATTCAGTTGCAGTGTGAACACAGAGTGAAGCGGGTCTCCTTTCTTCTGTGAGACTGACAGCCATTGATATCATATAAAAGTTTATATGATATCTGTGCTGACAACTGTCAGAGCTTGGGGAAGTGGGAGGGGCTTACAGCCCGCTGCCGAATGTGCTTTCATCACCAAAGTCTCCAGTAACACAGAAAAAAGTCTAGATTTGTCGCTAGTCGCTTAAAAAAAAGTCACTATAGAGGGGTCTGAAAACTTGCTAAATAAAGCGATAAAGTCACTAAGTTGGCAACACTGCAGCCATGTCCGCTATTGTGCTCCAGCCCGTGCGGAAACATTGTGCTGCACATTGGTTCCTCGTCAAAAAAGGGCCTGCGTGTGTGTTTTAGCGTGAGAAATACAAAGTGTGCCGTGTGCACGTCATGAAATGCGTGTGTCTCACAGTCAATGTGTGAGACTTGTGAGGCCATTGTTTATTTTATTTTTGATTTAGTTATTGATTTGCCTGGCCTATAAAACTCATAGATGGGCTGCTTTGACCCTGACCAGACCAGCCCCACACAGAAAACCCCGCCCCCTCATTTGAATATAAAAACATGAAATAAAAAGAGCTTAAAATGAAAAACGGAGTTAAAAAAATAAAAGATCCTGAAATATGTAAAGTAGCTTCACAAAATGAAACTCTGTTATTAAATAAATAAGTAAATAAATCTTGAAATGAAAAAAAAAAAATCTTGAAATAAAGAAAAATAAATCTCGGAGAAAAAAACTAAACATTTTCTATTTAAATGTTTTATTTCATGGGGACATTTATTTATTTATTGGAATATTTTTTAATAATTTTTAAATAACACTTTATTTATTTATTTAATTTTGAATGAAATGGCTCTCCATATTGTCCCCTGTCGCACAGTGAAGAGGGTATTTGAAAATACCCTCGAGTCTGTGCAAACACGACTATAAAATAAGTGTGGAACAGACTTCCATATTGGTTTGTGTCAACATCTAGGTGTAAGAAAGGTTCCTTTCAAAAATTGGGTTACCACATCAAAATCAAAGATGGCTGCCGCCGTATATGTAGATCTATAAACCATATTAGCTGGATAAGGTCAAAAAATATTTAACTGACGTTGATTTTGGTGTGTGGCTGCATCTAGGCATGAGATGTCATTAAACATTGTTAGACTGATTGGTAACTCTAAAATTGTCCCTAGGTGTGAGTGAGAGTGAATGGTTGTTTGTCTCTATGTGGCCCTGTGATGGTCTTGCGACCCGTCCAGGGTGAACCCCGCCTCTCGCAGACCGATGGTTGTGGGCACCGGTGACCCCCATGACCCAAAAAGGAGTGGGTAAAGAGGATGGATGGATGGATGGATGGATGAATGGTTTGCCTCATCAAAATCCAGGATGACAACTGACACACACACACATGGTGGTGCTTGAATGTTTGTAAAGTCTTTATAATTTTTTATATTTCTTGATAAATTTGATCTAAAACATCATCAGATTTTCACACAAGTCCTAAAAGTAGATCAAGAGAACCCAAATGAGACAAAAATATTATACTTAGTAATTTATTTATTGAGGAAAATGATCCAATATTACATGTTTGTGATGGTAAAAGTATGTGAACCTTTGCTTTCAGTATCTTTGTGACCTCACAGACTGTTCCACTCCTTGTTCTTGGAGTGATCTTTGTTGGGCCACCACTCCTGGGGAGGTAACTATGGTCTTGAAGTTCCTCCATTTGTACACAATCTGTGTGACTGTGGATTGGTGGAGTCCAAACTCTTTACAGATGTTTTGTAACATTTTCCAGCCTGATGAGCATCAACAACTCTTTTTCTGAGCTCCTCATCCATCTCCTTTGTTCGTCCATGATCCACTTCCACAAACATGTTGTGAAGAGCAGACTCTGATAGATCCTGTTCTTTAAATCAAACAGGGTGTCCACTCACACCTGATCATCATCCATTGATTGAAAACACCTGACTCTAACTTCACCTTCAGATTAACTGATAATCCTAGAGGTTCACATACTTTTACCATCACAAATATGTAATATTGGATCATTTTCCTCAATAAATAAATGACCAAGTATAATATTTTTGTCTCATTTGTTTAACTGGGTTCTCTTTATCTACTGGTAGGACTTGTGGGAAAATCTGATGATGTTTTACGTCATATTTATGAAGAAATATAGAAAATTATAAAGACTTTGCAAACTGTCAAGCACCACTGTACATGCTACAACTCATTGTTTTATTCCAACAAGATGACATCTCTTCAGTCCTTTGATATAAGTATTTTATGAACTTTATCAAAGGAAACTGTAAAGATCCATTCTTATTCCCTTGAAGATAGACCTGTGATCCCAGATGTGTCATGTAATGCTGCTGTTATCTTTTCCAGGATCTTCAGTTTACAGAAGTAACTCAGTATCAGCTGACTCGGATCCCTCACTGCCAGTACTGCATACAGATTAAAGCTATGAACGGTCTGGGTGGGCACACCCCACTAAGTGACACGAAGTGTTTTGGTATGGTTCTTTGCTCTTTCTTTACTTCTGATTATAAAGGCTTGTATTTCAAAGAGCAGGCTGTCATTTCATCACTCCTTTAAAGAAAAGAGATACGCTGATCTTAACGTCCTGCTCTGTCCAACACTGTCCAACACTGTCTTCTGTTTTCATGTAATGAGTTTTTCAAAGTTTCTTATGTTGTGGCTCTCAGCTGACCGCAGCACTCCGGGTGTCTTTACCTCCAGATGCTGATTATGTGCCCTTTAGTCCACTGGTATTTGCAGCCATTTTTATCCCACTGGTGATTGCCTTCCTGGTTGCTGTGACATGTTGTTGCTGGGTGTAAGTGAACATGTACTTTGTTTTTAATCTTAGTTACAGTTTTAACATCATTTTTTGTTTACCTCTGATCTCTAACTCTGTAAACAGATTTAAAAACAGCATTTTCCCCAAAGTACCCAAACCTCGGGATCTCCTCAGTGATCGTTCAAACAGCACTGTGGTAAGGTGGTTTCTTTTACTTCCTATAAACACAATGACCAGAGATGTCTACATTCGGTTTGTCTAGAGCTTAACACTTCCTTTTTCGTCTCCACACAGAACTTTCTTCATAAACTGTACACCCCAGCAGAGGAAGAGGAGAACTGTTTTGTCACTCTGGTTGAAGATACCCCAACCAAGAAACCAAAGTGTTGACACATCTATTGTCAAGTCACCCTTTCCAAGAAAAAAAAAAAAAAACTGCTTCTGCTTTCTTAAACATAGCTAACTGGTTTACTGTTGTTTGGTAATGGAGATAAAACACACACATGGAAGAGAAAGGAAACGTATTTTTTTATATTTAAACTAAATTTTATTTTTTTAGCCTCAGGATGATTCGTGTCTGAGAAATGGTGAGAAACGCAACAGTTCTGCCTGAACTGATGGCGTATCCAGTAATGTTTTTTGTAACATGCTGTGAAGATAAATTAGTCTAAAGAGTAGTCATAGAAGTGTACAAAACGTTTTGTAAATGTACAATAAAATCCACCGGTGTACCCCAATATTCACACACGCATAAACATTTTTTTTTGTTTATGTGCACATTTCAACCTGCAGTAGTAGTAATATTATGTGCATACAGATTGTCAAACACGTACACAAATCACGTTCTGTGGACGGATCAACTTGCCTGTAAATGTGACTTTGAAGACTTCTTTACCACTCCAGATTCACAAATATGAAGCTGCGTTCAAGGCTGGTGAACTGTTTAAACGCATTCATTTACATTGACATTAAGAGACTCTAAAAATCTTCAATTTGTGGGAAAAAACTCAGATGAGCAGTTTGTTGTTCATTTGGGAAATCTACCAGGAAAAATATATTTACCGTATTTTCCTAAGTAAAAGTCGCATCAATCCAAAAAAAAAAAAGCATCATGAGGGAAAAACACATGTAAGTTGCATTTATTATGCATTTATTTAATGGTCAGAACAGCTTCATTTCGCCTGGGCGGCAAGGCGCCATCCATCCATCCATTGCAGCTGGAGCCGCTAGCTCTCCAGCTTTCCTCTGCCTGCACCAGCTGAGTGAAGCGAGCGTGAACGGGAGGACTCGCTATTGTAGTTCTTCAAAATTTAAAGTCAATCCAAATCCGAATACCTGGCCCCTTGACAAGTATAGTGAAAATATGTGGTCAGTTTGTCCTCCAGCAGTCTAAGCCTATAGCAGCATAACTAAGGGACAGCACAGGAAACCCAAGCCAACCCTAACTATAGGATTTCTCAAAAAGGAAAGTCTTAAGCCCAGTCTTAAAACAGGACAATGTGTCAGCCTCACAGACTGAAACTGGAAGTTGGTTCCACAAGAGAGGAGCCTGATAACTGAAAACTCTGCCTCCCATTCTGCTTTTAGAAACTAGGATCCACAAGTAAACCTGCAGTCTGAGAGTGAAGTGCTCTGTTAGAAAAATATGGAACAATAACATCTGTAATATAATATGGAGCTAGGTTGTTGAGAGCTTTGTAGGTTAGAAGTAAGACTTTGAATTCTATTCTGAATTAGACAGGGAGCCAATGGAGAGAAACTAAAACTGGAGAGATATGATTTCTCAACGCTCATTAGAACTCTGGCAGCAACATTTTGGATCAGCTGAAGTTTTTAATGAAGTTTGTGGACACCCACATAATAAAAAATTGCAATAGTCCAGTCTAGATGTGACAAATGCATGATCCAGTTTTTCTGCATCATTTTTGGACAAGATGTTTCTAATCTTAGTGATATTACGCAGGTGAAGGAGAGTGGTTTTGGTAACCTTTTTAATGTGGGGTTAGAAGACATGTCCTGATCAAAAATAACACCAAGATTTTTAACTTTAGAACTGGAGGCCAAATTAATGCCATCCAGAGAAAGTGAAAGACTGACCATTTTATTTCTAAGATGCTCAAGTCCAAAAACCACAGACTCTGTCTGAGTTTAAAAGCAGAAAATTTAGGGTCATCCAAGTTTTCATGTATTTAAGACATGATTGTAGTCTTTTGTAGCTGATTGGATTCATCGAGTTTCATGGACAAACATAATTGTGCATCATAAGCATAACAATGAAAACTTATCCCATGCTGCTTAATGGAAGCATATATAAAGTAAAGAGTATTCCTCCAAGCACTGAACCCTGAGGAACTTAATTTTGATGTATGAAGAAGATGAATTACTTATATTTACAAACTGGAATCTATCATATGTAGATGATATGCAAGGCAGTAGCATACACATATGTATGTATATA